TCCACCCTCATCATTCCCTGGGGATCTTGCTACTCCCCTCCCCTGCTGTTCCGCTGCACTCCCCCAGTGCTTTGCCTCAGTGTGGCGGGGTCAGATCAGGCACAATTCCCACACTGTGTCACTGGTGTTGTCTCACCTGTAATTTTTATGGAAGCAGATCGGAAGGCATTTCATTTTCTCCTTTAAGGTTCTCTGACTGGGTTCGAACTGGCCATCTTTCAGTTAGCTACTGCTTTCTTGTTGCAAGGCCAGCTTCCCTTTTAACAAAATTGTTATTGTTATGTACACACTTTGGAGAGAGCAAAATGAAATGTCAGTGAATTTGTTTGGGGGCGGACAGTATTTTGCTTACTTATTTTGGTAATGGGTGTAAGGTTTCTGCTTTTCTAACTATCTGGGTCGAACGCGGATCTGACTAAAGGCTGGAAATAGCCTAAGGTTCAAGATTTGCATCACCTCTCTGTTCTAGGTTCCTTAAATCCCAATCAAATTGTGCTTTCCCATTCTCAGCAAGTCAATTAATTCTGGCTCTTAGTAACCCTATCAGGCAGACTAGAACTGCCCTTGTGGGTTTCTGAGACTCTCATTTTTTATATGGCAATTGAAAACAGCAGAGCAGCTGGTGGTTTCAAACCACTGACTCTGTGGTTTTCAGTGCAAGGTGTAACCCACTACACCAGCAGAGCTCCTAAATTGTCTGTATTGAGTTATTGAAATATTTTTACTGAGTGATTTTTATAGGCTAAACTCTATCCTAGGATGTAGAGATATAGAAAAGTTGGTTTTTTTAATCCCCCCTTCAAGGAGTATATATTTTAGCAGACATTACTGGATGAAGGATAAAAAGGATACATAGGAGATGAGGTATAATTATGTAGTAGAGAGATTTTGTAATTCTATTAGCTGTATCACTGGAACCTCACAGGCAGAGTGGTAACTCGTTGGGGCTGCTAACTTCAAGGTTGGCAGTTCAAAGCCGCCAGCTTTTCTGAGTTAGAAAGGTGAGGCTTTTTACTCCCTTAAAGACTTACAGTCTCAACTCCTTAGGGGAGAAGAAAGCCCCATCTTTCTTTCACGGAGCAGCTGGTATTTTCAAACTGCTGACCTTGTGGTTAGCAGCCTGCCTTGTAACCACTATGACACCGGGCTTAAGAGAGGCAGAAATTAAGTCCAACATGCTAACTCTGGATACCTTCTGGGAACATAGGAGCTTCCAAACATTGTTGTTGGAGTACTGGGTATAACCAGCTTAGAAAGCAGATTTCTAATATGCTGAGTGTACTCATGATCAAACAGAACTTACAAATAAATATTAAAAAGTTGAAAAGCATTGAATTGTTTGCTCACCCTGATAAGAATACACTTTCTTACTGATGGTGCCTGTCTATCAAAAGATATAGAGCCTGGGGTCTTATAGGCTTGAAGACAAACAAGTGGGCAGCTAACAGAAGCAACGAAGCCCACGTGGAAGAAGTACACTAGCCTGTGAGATCACGAGGCATCGAAGGGATCAGGTATCAGGCATCAAAGAACAAAAAAATCATAGCATTGTGAATGAGGGGGAGTGCACAGTGGGGACCCAAATCCCATCTGTAGGCAACTGGATAGCCCCTTACAGAAGGGTCGTGGGAAGGAGATGAGCCAGTCAGGGTGCAGTGTAGCAATGATGAGACACACAATCTTCCTCTAGCTCTTGAATGCTCCCTCCCTGCCACTATCATGATCTCAAATCTACCTTACAAATCTGGCTGGACCAGAGGATGTACACTGGTACAGATAAGAACTGGAAACACAGGGAATCCAGCACAGATGAACCCTTAAGGACCAGTGGTGAGAGTGGCAATACCAGGAAGGTGGAAGGAAGGTGGGGTAGAAAGGAGGAACAGATTACAAGGATCTACATATAACCTCCTCCCTGGGGGATGGATAGCAGATAAATGGGTGAAGGGAGACGTTGGATGGTGTAAGCTATGACAAAATAATAATAATTTATAAATTATGAAGGGTTCATGGTGGAGGGGGGAGCGAGGAGGGAGGGAAAAATGAGGAGCTGATACCAAGGGCTCAAGTAGAAAGCAAATGTTTTGAGAATGATGAGGGAAACAAATGTACAAAAGTGCTTGACACAATGGATGTACGTGTGGATTGTGATAAGAGTTGTATGAGCTGTTAATAAAATGATTTAATTATTAAAAATGAAAGAAAATAAAAAAAGAATGTACTTTCTCCTTACCCAGAGTTACAATGACCCTCAATTATTCTTTTGCTTTACTTTACTGTTTTACCACACATTAAGCAACCCCAAAGGGTATAAAGTTTAGTTTTCAATTGTCTTTGAACTGAATATAAGTGCTATTACACTGTATATAATCTTCTGTATCAGTGGTTCTCAACCGTCCTAATGCCGTGAACCTTTAATACAGTTCCTCATGTTGTAGGGATGCCCCTCCCCCAACAATAAAATTATTCTTGTTGCTATCAGGTGACTCCTGTGAAAAGGTCGTTCAATCCCCAAAGAGGTCACGACTCACAGGTTGAGAACCACTGTTCTACATCTTATAATATTTTTTGTAATTGTTTCAAATGTTATGTCTGGCTACTGCTGTTCACTCATTTTTCATTACTAAAATGATATTAAAATAACACACACATACACCCAATGTTACATTCTCAGAAATGCACAGGGGAAGTTATACTCTGACCTGCAGTGTTCCCATGAGCCTGAATCAGGATGGGAGTGAGTTTGGCTTTTTTGTTTATTGGCTCTGTCATTTATGAGTTAGCTTTGATCAGCTAGTTTTCTCTTGGCTGCAAATTTTGATAGTCTACCTGCTATTATTCTAAGGTTTTGATGGATTAGATATTGTGGTGGAAAAAGTATTGATACTCTGGATACTGAGAACATATGCACCCGATCGTTGGTAAGTTTCAGGCAGTGGACATTCTCAATCCAATCGGAATAGGAACTGAAGGGAACTGAGGCCAAGGCTCCATCCACTTCACATTTGCTCCCATTCCTGGAGCACATCCCTCTCCATTAACCGACCACAAGAACCAGCCTGTGGCTCTCGTTTCCCGGTGGTTCATGATGATCCCAGGCTTTAGAGAGCGACTTCGCCCCATGGAGCGTCCAATGGCTGCTTTTCAGAAGGCGATCAGTAGGCTTTCTTCCCAGTTGTCTCTGGATCGATTGCAATCAGCGACCTTTGCTTAACTGTTTGCACCACTGTTAACGGTTACACTGTTGGCTAATTGTCACACTAACCCTGGTTTCATATCCTTAGAGGACTGCTAAATAAAATTCTGTGTGCTCGCTCTTTTTTTTTTTCAACCTGGATTCCTTTCCTTTGTAGGTCTTAAGTATACAGGTCACCTGAGGTCGGGCTAGGTTTATTTCCATGGCCACATGGTCAGTGCATAGCAGAACTGAAATGTGCATTCAAGACAACTGCTTCAGCATCCATTCCTTCAACCATGAAACTGCAGAACTCTTACACAGTGCTGAGCTGCCATGAACTATTCCGATGGTTATGAGTAATGAATTCTCCATATTTTGACAATCTGTTTCAACAGGATTTTTAGATATAAAAACAGTCATTTGATGATGCCTCTAATCACCAAGATAAACAATGTGCATTTGGAGAATGCCTGGAATATAAATGACATTGCCACTGAGTGGATTCTGACTCTTGGTGAGATTATACGAAAGGATCTAACTGCTTCTGTGGGATTCGGATACTGTATGTCGTTAGGAAGGAGAAAGCTTCATCAGACTGCCTGGTGTCAAACTTGTCAGACTAAGTCAAGTTTAGTATGCTTAGCAGCCCGATTTATAACCCACTCCTCACCAAAGCTCTTCATGGGAAAAAAAGACAGAAAGACAGAAAAAGGGTGAAAGTAGAAATCCCGGAAGGGCGGGGGTAGTGCTGGGATGGTGGTGAGTGAGAGACTTGAATTCATAAACCTAAAGCATATTGATTTGATTCTGAGTCACAGCCACCCAAGAACACAAGGGAGAACTGCCCCTGTGGGTTTCTGGGACTGTAACTCTTTACAGAAAGAGGAAGCCTCATCTTTCTCCCATGGAGTGGCTGGCGGTTTTGAGCTGCTTACCTTGCAGTTAGCAACCTAACGTGGAATCCACTATGCTAGAATCACTAAATTATTTTATCTTACTCTAGGTTTGCATATTAGAACATTTCATATAAATGGAATCTTCTGTGGCCTTTAATGACTGTTTTTTCCCCACCTAGTATAGAATTTTCATGGTCTTCTATTATGTATTTTGATTATTATGTACAATCCTGTTGTTAATGTTCCGGTAGTTTTTTGTGGGGATGTATATATGTGCATTTTCAGTTCTCTAGGCAAATACCTAAGTGTAGAATTGTCCATTTGCATGGCAATTCTATATTTAAATGTTTAATGAATAATCAAGCTATTTTCTAAAGTGCCTGTACCATCTTCCAAATCAGTTAACAATCTACGAATGTTCCAGTTTCTCTGCCTCCTTTCTAACACAAGTTATCGTCTGCTTTCATCTGTTTTCCAGTTTAATGTTCGTCATCCTAGTAGATGTGAATTGCTACCCTTTAATTCTGAAGAACAGTTTTCCAGAGTGTAGAGTTCTAGAGTAACTCCAGTTTTCTTTCAGTGTTTTGAAGATGATCCTCCACAGCCTTCTGGCCTCGATGGGCTCTGGGAGAACACAGGTAGATCATATTAATTGAGGATCAATCATATGTGGCCACCATCTCTTTTGAGGCATTCAACATTTTTCTGTTGTCTTCTGACGTTTCGTAGTTTGATTTCAATATGTCTAAATTTGATTTCTTTGTGTTTTAATCGTCTTTAGTTCATTAAGTTTCTTGGATATGTAGTGAATGTTTTTCATCAAACTTGGGTAGAGTTTTTTCCTATGATATATTCTGATATTCTTTATTCATCTTTATCTTCCTCCTCTCCACTGGGACTTTCATTATGTGCATGATATGCCACAGATCTCAGGCTCTGTCAATTTAACTTTGATCTTCTGCCTCTCTGTCCCTTTGACTGGATAATAATCTCAGTTGACCTAATTTCAAGTTTGCTGACCCTTCTGCCAGCTCAAATCTGCTGTTGATGACTTCTACTGAAAAGCTAGCTTTATGTACTGTGTTTTCTTTTCCAGAATTTCCATTTGATTCTTTTTACAATTTCTATCCCTTTATGAATATCCCTTATTTCATGAGACGTCCATTTTTCTTTAGTTATCTATACATATTTTAAAAGCTATTGAAATAGTAGCGGATTTGAGATCTTTGTTTAGTAAGTTGAGCAAAAGACCCGAGCTTTCTGGCAGGACACTCCTACTAGCTATGTGTTTTCTCTGTAGGTTATGCTTTCTTACTCTTTGAGTTACAATTAATGCTGTAAATGAATATTGTTATGACTTTGGAACTCAGATCCACCCTCTCCTCAATCTCAAACTACTATAACAACAAAAACTCACTGCCCTCAAATCGATTCTGATTCACAGTGGTCCATTAGCACACAGTATGGCTACCCTTCTTGGGGCTTCTGAGGCTCTACATTTCTCAGAAACAGAAAGCCTCACCTTTCTCTCCCAGAAAGATGAGCTTCGATCCGGTGGGTTCACACTGTTGACCTTGGGTTGAACTGCCCAACTCACAACCTCACTAGGGCGTGTTCCTGTTTGTGTTTGTTTGATTAGTATCTTTCTTGAACTAAATCTACCTTTCTATTATGTGTGTCCATGAAGTCTCTCCTCGCTGATATGAATGGTCTGCTAATGCTATTTCCTAAATCACTCGCAAGAATCCAGTTTGTCTGTCTTTCATGTAGGCTACACTTGTCCCTCAAGGTCAGCTGGAGAGAAGAGACTTTTGAAGTCTTTCCTTTGGATGTTCTTTGCCCTGCACTGAGGGTAACCGTCTAGATTCTACAGATTCTTGAACCTGAGATTTCCAAAGCGCTCTTCCGACATCTCATTTTCCAGTTGGTACAAGTACCGGCGGGTACACTGAGTGATGCTGGACTGGGAACTGTAAGCTTAGCCGTTAGACCCTGGCAGTCACACTGCCTCTGCTCCCATAAAAAGACACACTCCCAGAAACCTACAGGGGTCATTATACCCTGTCCTAAATGCTATTGGGTTGGAGTTGACTCACTGGCACTAAGCATTCCAGTTTTCTTTCTGTTAGAATCACCCTGGTTGACCCAAAGTTTCAACTCTTGCTGCTGATTGATTTCAATCTGTCAGAAAAAGTTGAGCAGTAAGGCTGCTATGAATGGTGTCAAATATAAATTCTCTGCCAGTGAGAGACTGCAAGGAGCAGCCAGTCAGGTGAACAATGCCAATGACCTTGGAATAGTGTTTTTGATCACTCAAAACATCTCTTGCATGTTTCAATGGCTGTCCAGCTACTGTTTTTGAAAGGTACAATGCTTGTGAGGTTGTTGGTTTTCTGGTTACAATGTAGTTTGAGATAAGAGAGCAAGGATGAGTCAGTTAACATGTCACAAATGTCACTATTATCTACAACATTTAGTTGCTTGTCTCAAATAAATGTTCCTTGCCTCTTGGGTGCTTTGTTTAATGTCAAGAGTTGTGAGAAAACAACATGAAGACTCTTTGCCAACATTTCTGTTGCTTTTAAAATGGAAAGGACTTTGGAGGAGGCTTCCTTTGAAATTCTAGCAGTGATTGCTAGTATGCATTTCAACATTAAAAAAAAGATATCAACTTCTTAAGAATACTTATCAATAATTGAGAGGGAGAAAAGCTCAAGTTAATATTAGGCTGAATAACTACTATTTGGACAAAGATTTTCCCCTCAAAGTCCCATAAGCAGAAATGGTATTTTTAAAGGTTTACTATAAAACTCACCCAATTCTCTACGTTTTCTAAAGTACACTATTGTATGAGAAAAGTATTTGTTGAGAATAAGGGACAGTTTCTGAACCCATACCTATCTTAAATCACCGACCCTCTAAATATTACAGAAAGGACCCCAAGTGACATTTTTATAGCACCATCAATTTAACTGTCTCATATCTCTTCTGATCTTGATATAGGAATAGTAAATTTAGACTGCACCCAGTATAAATGCATGTTTCACTTTCATATCCTTCTGTTCCTATAAACCTCTCCTATCATATGCTACATAACTTCATAGTGCTCTTTTTGATATATAGTATATCTTTAAAACTTTAGTTTAAAAATAATAATTTTATAGATAAATTAATGTGTCAAATGATAGACATGATTACTTATTATGTAGATTTTTAAATATAGATCTTCAAAGAGAAAAGAAAGCAAAAAAATATTATTTCCTCCAAATTAGTAAAAGCAGAGTCTCTTGAATTAAGAAAAAATAAGTAGGGAGAGTGTGCGAGTGAGTATATTTCAATAATTAAATGATAAGCAAATTAAAACGTTAAATAAGAGTTGCCAGGTTTTGAAGCGTACTTCTGCTATTTTTATTTACATAACCTTGGGCAAATGACTTAAGTGCCCCATGCCTTCATTTGCATCTTCAAAAATTAAGATAACCAATGTATCTGAATCTGACACATTGAGTGTGTTTGGAAGATTAAATGAGTGAAGTTATGCATGCATTTATGAAAATGCTTGGAACATAACACGTGTGGCATCACTAGTTACCCATTGGACGGCTAACCTCAGGGTCAGCGATGTGAAGCCCCAGGAGAAAGATGACACTTGATCCTTCCGTTAAGTTCTACTCTTTCCTACAGTGTCACTCTTTGTTGAGTTGACTGTAGCAGTTTTGTGCTTATTTGTGAACCTAGTTGGTACTGACACTTCAAAATGTTAGTTAATACCACTGATCTAGTGAAATTAGTATCGGTCAAAACAACATGTATTTATATAAGTGTGGTAGTTACATAATTTCATGTCAACTTGAAGATATAGAAAAGTGTAGGGGTGGTATTCAACCTGTTGGTCAGTTCAGCCTGATGGTGCCTCCTTGTGGACATGTCCTTCTCATAATGGGGACCTGCTTAAGGTCCCCCTTGCTCTCTGCTTTGACCTTCCTAATTGCTGACCCAGAAAGCTGCCGGAGCCCTGCCCCGTCATGTACTCCACTGACCATGGATCC